GTGTCCTTTGAAATTGGAACCATAAATGTACATAAAGATACATATTTACATTTTTTAAAGATTCTGCTCAAGTTATGAAGTTAATGGAATAATACATGCCAACAGAGATCTAAACATAGATGCTTCTAATTTGAAAATGATGCAAGCTAATGAGGAAAAAAAGCATAATAACTAACATTTAGTGAATATTTAATCCTATTATTCAAAACTCGTTACAAGCACTTAATCCTTATATTAACTATATCAAGTGTGTGCTATTTTTAATCTTTAGTTTACAGATGACAGGCACATAGAGATTTGTCACTTGCCCATGGTCGGAGTAACTATATAGCAGAGGCAGGATGTGAACACAAGCGCTCTGCTCCTGAGGTTGTTCTCTTATGCACTACTTCCTGCGTGGAGATGAAGTCTGAGAAGATTGCTTGAGAGCATTCTAAAACATGAGCTATGACTTCTGAAGGCAGATTACAAGCTGGTGTAGGATCACGCTTTATAAAAATTTTTGTATTCTTACCACTTTACACCAAGCTTTTCACATAATAGGCACACACATGCACATGCACACACACAACAGGTTGCTGAAGGAATATATGAAGCTAAAGCAAAAGAAGGTAAAAAGAAAATGCAAAATTACAGGTCAGAGAATTGGTTCTGAAGTGGCTTTGCCATCCAGTACTTTTTTCTTCGATTTTTCATTTCAAGATGGGTGCTGACTTGGAATTTCTGAATTAACAGAAACAAATCTACATGGGCAGGAGGAGGTGGAACTCCCAAACAAATCAAGGTTATTTTAAATGAGTCCAGTAAATAGTAGCTGAATGAGGAAAATTAATAGAGGAAATCATAGAACAGCAGAATCAAATACCACCGATGATTACGAATAATAAGAACTAGCTCAAATATTTTAGATATTGCTCCATCCTTCAAGCTTAGGGCCTCCTTACAAATAGAGATCAGAGATAACAAATATATTATCCTTTGGAATTAAAAACAAAAGCAAGTCCTACTACACTCAATAAAATGCTTTGAAGTATACACATGTGTTGATTTTGTGACATATTCTTAACCTTACTAGGTAGCTACAGCTCTGCTGGGAGCAATTAATTCAGAAAGCCACAGAAACTCCACAACAGGGCTAAAGGATCAGCAAAATAGCTGGAATATTTTCCTTGCTGCAGACAGCTGGATGTTGCTAATTTAGCTACTCTAAAGTGAAGGGAGGAAGGAGGAGGAAAAAGCAAGGTTTTTACTTTGCCACCCCTCTGTCAATTCAGAGAAAAGGAAAACAAAGAAGGCATTGATAAACATGGTGAAGGAACAGGTTTTCTCCCTACTCTCTTAAATGAGCACATCTTACTCAAATTGACCTGAAGTAACCAACACAGGTTACTTTCAGGTTGCATATACCAAAAGGACTCTAACCAAAGAACTGGGGAAAGCAGTAATTTCCTTTTTTAAAAAACAATTTTATTGCAATATTACTCACATACCATACTGACCACCTATTTAAAGCATACAATTCAATGGTATTTAGTATGTTTACATTCAATTAGTACCAGAAGCGATAATGAGAACTCAAACAAAACACTCACCCCAGGATTACACTAATATAATCTAAATCATCTTTAATTTGTAAGCACGCTATTGCTAAATTCACCTCAGTCACACTACCACCTAACCAGAACTGACCTCAGTCAAACCACCGCCTAACCAGAATTGACCTCAGTCAGACCACCGCCTAACCAGAACTGACCTCAGTCAGACCACCACCTAACCAGAATTGATCTCAGTCAGACTACCGCCTAACAAGAATTAACCTCAGTCAGGCCACCACCTAACCAGAATTGACCTCAGATAAATGCCTAACCAGAATTGACTTCAGTCAGATTACTACCTAACCAGAATTGACCTCAGTCAAACTACTACCTAGTCAGAATTTACCTCAGTCAAAATACTGCCTAAAAGAAAGCTGGCTGGCCCAGAATGAGCAAGAGCTACTTATGGTACTCAAACAAAAGTCCCACTTGCCTCTTCCCTGAGATCACACATATGAGCTCTACTGTGCATACGTGCATTCAAGAACCAACAAGCAAACTCATATAGAGCATTTAAGACATACGAATGAAAAGTAGTAAGATCGACACACACAACTAGCCTTTCAAAATAATAGTGGGGATATGTGAGGCATTTGAAATTGGCAATGGCAAAGACTGTAATTTTCTGCTACAGGGACATTATTACAATTTTTCAGCATAGTTTAGAACCAAGGTTCATAAGAGCTCTCCTACTTAACGCAACGTCACACCTAGTAGTTTGCTAAGATACTCTACAGTAGATCATAACATTGACTCCTAGGCTCTTTGTAGTTAATCGTTTCAAAAGAGAGAGAGAGGTGGACACATTAATATAGTAACTAGAGTAGCTCCTTTCCATTTCCCATCCCCACGTAGTCTACTTTTTCCAAGGAGGCCAAACAACTTTTAAAAATTATTTCAGTTCTCAAATGGCTCTGATAAGCTACTATTAATTTTGAAATATAACTCTTAATCCCCTGGATCAATACATAACACAGTTAGATAAAAGGGAAAAACAATTAAGGCTAGATACGCTCATGAGGCATAGGGAAAGAAACCAGTGACCCAAATGATAGAAGCCTAAAAAATCTTATCTTTATATGATGGTGAAGAAATCAGACTTTTCTTGAGTTCTACTTCTATCTTTATTTATTTTTCAGTGTTCGAAGAAAAGGTAATGACACAAATTAATGGGTTATAATCTGGATCCTGTTTTACCAATTGTTCTTTAAACATTTTTCGTGACTAAGTTTTTATCTCCAACTCTACCATGTGCTTTCATGAACCACAAATACCCTCTGGTAGATCACTAATAGATGTCCCTTCTTCTTTTAAAATCGCCCTTCAAAAATATGGCTAAATTTTTCTCTTTTGTCAGGAACGTTCAGGATACATATGCTATTCAACAGTGCCAAATGAATCTGTGAAAGGGAAAATAAACCACATCGAGGCTGAGTAGACAAGGACAAAGCTAATCAAAATTGATTTGGCAAAGGAGAAGCCTGTTCCCTCTTTAGCTGCAATAGGAAGGGTGAGAGGGAAAGGATTCTTTTTCAAGTGGCATCTCAAGTTTGAAAACTGATAACACGTAAATTTATAGCATGGTAAGTAGCTTAATTTAACTACAAATTGTTAACATGGGCCTTTGTGATTTCTTTGGTAAGACTATACACCATAAGAAGTGTGAGAAGAAGGAGAAGAGAGGACAAGGAAAAAGAAGAGAAACAGGAAGAGTAGATGACAGTCATCTGTAGCAAGATTGCTTTCTACAGTATAATTTTAAAGGCCCTTATTTCTAAACACTTGACCTCTGTCTGCCACTCTCCACCAGAGAATTAAGCAACTGTGTATCTGCCCAGTAGAAGAACATTTTTACTTATCTGGAAGGCTAACTTCACAGATACACAGTAACTGTATATCTATGTTAACTTCGCCCCCTCACCCCCATATCTAGTAACTTTAAGAAAATCTCTAGCTGCGATCTGACATTAAAGTGTGTTCCCAGGGTTTTAATATGCTTTTGCCAAACATTAGCAATGATGAAATGACTTACTTTTGCATTCTAGCCAAAACAAAAATAATAAAACCATATGCTCAATTTCTCTTTAATAAACTAAATTTAGATTTCTACTTTAAAATAAATTTTTGACATCAATGGCTTAAACAAGAACATCTTACATTTGGGTGTTTTCCCAGTTAATTATTTGCTGGCATTATACTAGAAATTCTTTGGCCTCACCTTTAATTGACACTCCCAAGTGCTAATTAGGAGATGGTATACATTATTAGTCAGAAAATGTTGTACTTAAAACATGCATGTTCCATAAGTATCGTATTATTAACGTTATTCTTTTCACTCCTTGAAAGATCTCTTTAGAATATAGAGCCCCTATTTAAATGAAGCAACTGACTGCTCATGAGGGAATTCTTGTCAAAATGCAATTAATAGGAAGGGGCCAAGATGACACAGGATCCTTGTCTTCCAAACATCCTTAACATGAATCAAATTTAATCTCACTGAAATAGCCAGTGAAGGGAAAAGTTAATGATTGCATATGCTACACATTTTAATTGTACCTGGGGACTCCCAGAGAAAATGGCCAACTCACATATGAGCTAAACCATCACCAAGGAACCAGACACTTCATTGAGGACAAGCCAGAGACACGCCTTTTCCAGCACTATGTCTTCCAAAAAGCCACAAGACAGATAGGAAAATAAACACAAAGGTAGACCTAATGATTTCCTAATTATGAAGGAGATATGATCTTCTCATTAATTGGCAAGCTAACTGACCACAATCGCAGTTTCATAAATTGTGTCTAAAAATCTAAACTTTGGTGTCTGTACTCTACAGAATTCTTGCACTTCCAGACCCTTCATCCAGCCACAAAGTTGTCAGTTCTGCTTGATTTGTTTGAATACTGTACTAGACGACAGCTGTCGGAAACAGTACATTAGAACAGCTGCTATGACAGCTACAAGGGGCTTGGAAGTTTAATTGGGCTCAATGTGACATTGTGCATTTTTCTAAACATAGAAATATCCACAAAACTAAAGAAATTTCTAATGGGTCTAAACAATGTTTACTTATTGGCACCACCAACCGGTTAACCTCAGTTTGAGTTATATCGCTGGTCTCTTAATATCTTTGCCATCAGGCTGGTAAGAGGTATAAAAAAATAAAAATAAACACTAGGAGCAGTTAGATGCACAAGAAAAGGGGCATTAAGAGGGAGAGGAAATGGTAAGGAAGTCACGTCAATAATCTCTTTCAAAGGCTGGCTGGTAGCCAAGGAGGATCCCACAGTGTCTCAGGATTTACTTCCAAAGGAAATGTATTCAGAGGCCCTGAGCCTGGTGCCAACTGCAAACAAAACCACTCATTACGGTCACAGCCCCCTAGAGAAGGGGAGAATGGCTTACTCTCAGCATCCGTGCAGAGGAAGAAAGCAAGGAGCAGCAGCAGCAGCCTGGCTACGTGCACCATCCTGTAGCTTGGCAGCGGCATGTGCGAGCAGCTTGGAATCACTGCCTCTGGAGCCGCAGCGAGTCTGTCCGGTCTGAAATCTCAACTGGATCACTTTCAGAGCCTGTAAAGGAAGGGAAGAGAAAAGAAAAGGAAGAAAACACAAAGACACTTAGATCTGTCACTCTTTTCCCCGTCACATCACAACCACCACAAGAGACACAATCCATTGTAAATACACAATAAATTGCAACTGTCATGCTTTTGTATTAGGAAGGAAATAACTTGGTTTGTAAAATGGAGGAGCCCTAGAATATCTTGGTTTATACAATGTGGGAGCCCTAGCAGTCCCATTTTCAGGCCATCCTAATGCCAGCCACCTTGAATTTCACTCTTCTGCTATGCCACCTTTTGGGCAAAGCACTCTGAGATGGAACTGTCACTTCTTATGAAACATTACATGAATACATCAGTGGAAAAAAAGCACACCAGTGCTATAAGAAAGATTTAAGAGAAGTTCCTCCATGCAGGATAAAAGTCTATTACTGACAGAATAATGGAAGCTGCTTTCCTGTCATCAGGTGAAATGACAGGGCTAATTCAACTTCTCCAGCTAAATAGCAGAGGTTAGAATTTTTTACACTAGCATATTTGGCTTCTTCCCTGAAGACATATCAACACTCAAGTCTAGTTTGGCTTCAATAAGTCAAAACAATAGTTAGCATGAGCCTCTTTTGATTTAACAGGATTTTTAAACGCCTCCTGGGCAAGGGCTTAATTTTCTCAATCCTCTCTATAAAATTAAGAAGACACAAACTATTTTTAGAAAGCCTACTGTGTGTCAGACATCAAGAGTGACACAGTGCAAGGTGTCTCGAGGTACAAAGATGAGTCAGATTGTATTCTTTTAGAGTTTCCAGATTAGTAGTAAAAAATAAGACAGGTATACCAGATAACTAGTATGAGACAATAAGTGATTAGTGCCAGGAAGAAAAACCAAATAATGCCATAAAAGATAGGATCGAGAATAGCATCATGGAAAAAGCGGTCTCTCAAACTGGGCCTTGGAATATACGCAGGATTTTAACAAGGTGAGGGAAAGGGATTCCAGGAATTCTGCACAACGGCAGAGCAGTGAGAAAGGAACTTTGTGGAAGGCGAGTTGCCTGGTTTCGTCGCCCGGCTTCCCAAAGGTCAGCATGCATCAGACCACCCGGAAGCATGTTAAAACAGAGAGTTGGGCACCCCCCTCGGAATTCATGGTTCAGCAGATCTGTAGTGGGGTCCAAGAATTTACATTTCTAACAAGTTCTTAGGTGACACTGATGCTGCTAGTCCAGAGACTACATTTTGAGAGCCACTGGGTTGGACTGATGTCTCTATTAGGAAACCACAAGATTAGGCAAAAGAAAATGATTCAGGCTTAAAAAAAAAAATAGGTTACAGAGAGTCTTGGATGGCAATCTAAGACAAATAGCCTTTATTCAGCAAACCACGAGAAGAGCTATTTAATGTTTTGGGACAGAGGAACAACACGGAACTAGGTTTTGGAAAGATTAATTTGACAGCTGACTCAGGAATGATTTAGACCAGGGTTGTCCCCAACCTATGGTGAGTTGTATAATTATTTCATTATATATTACAATGTAATAATAATAGAAATAAAGTACACAATACATATAATGTGCTTGAATCATCCCAAAACCAGTTCCCATCCCCCCACCCCACGGTCGTGGAAAAATTGTCTTCCATGAAAACGGTCCCTGTTGCCAAGAAGGTTGGGGACCACTGATTTAGGGAATGCTATTAGGCCATAGAAAGAGCTTCAGGTGAGAAGTAATACAGGACATAAGAGTATGGTGGTCCTGGTAGGAATAGAAAGGAAGGGAAGTGATGACTGGCGGGCTCCAAGCAATAATTTGAAGCATGATCCTCCAGGTGATGATAAATAATTGTTCCAATAGAACCTCCAATAAATCTAGCACAGCCTCTTATAGAGAGTAGACTCTTAATAAAAATAAAACAGAGTACATCACATACTATTGCTTCCTCTATCACTGTAAGAAAAACTTGAGAATGACTATCAGAATTCGTTTGTAAAATGAAACCGCGTACTTTTACTTTTTCATATTGGAATATTTGAAACACACACAAAATTCTTGATAGGAAATACTAGAGATATCCAGAAATAACTTAATCCACTAAAATAACTTGTACTTTAAAAAGAATTGTAATGCAGATACTCTAATGTGTCTTTTCTGAAACTGAGCTTCAGTGTAGAAGGAAAATTTTAAAAAAGATATTATCTTTGCCATTACTATGCATGAGCGGTTGAATGCAGGGAAGATAAAACTAAAAGGAAGGGGAGGAATCATTCTAATTACCATTCTACTAGATAGCCTCTTTTTTTTTTTTAAAGAGATTTGTGGGTGGCATGAAGCAGCAACTTGTGCATTGAAACACATCTTCCTGAATCCAAAAGCTAGCCAGCTGTTCCAAATCAGCTATTGTTATCAATCGCCTCTGAAAAACAACTTATCAAGCAGTTCACGGCTATCAAATGTTAAAAATCTCAAAACTTCGCAGAAGTGCTAAAGGAATCAGCTCTACACCTCCACCCCCTTCTGCTTTTGCTGCTCCCATCCTCATGCCAGCATTTCAAATGACAGCAAAGTCCAGGAGACATCAGTCCTGTCGGACTCAATTTGTGTCTGTGCAAGCGTATCAGAGCCAACTGCTACATAATGACTTTGTGTGATCACAGAGATAGAGACCTATGAATGCTCGCTCAGGGAAGAAGTGATTTCGCTTTTCCTCTTACTCGGCTGAAATGCAAAAGAAGACCAAATTCTTCCAAACGAAACTTCAAATGTTACTTCTGGACTCGGAACAGTGATAGGATCTAGCACTCTAGAAATGAAGGCAGATACAAACATACATATTTATACTTAAATGGGCTACGCCCTTGGCCAAGATATAACAAAAGGAGATCAGAGGTGTGAAGATAAAACCTACTCAGGATGTTCATTCCAGCCAATCTCCACATCTATCTTGTTTAATACATAGAAACATTACCAAAAGGGAAATAAATGCTTACTGTATATCAGTAAGGTAGAATTTAAATTTAGGAGCAAAAATGGGACATAGATTTTTAAGGAACTATTTAAAGCAAAAATAATGTGGATGAATGAATATTACAAATATTTTGAATTAGCCTACAGTAAGGATTGCTATGCATTCTGCAAAGAGCAAGAAAAAGGCATTCAGAAATATTAAAAGTACCATGCTTTAGCTTACATCAAAAATTATTCTGCATTTGTCCAACAGCCTTCAGCAGAGGGCAACTCTGATTTTTATGTTTTGCCCTTTGCATCTTTTATTAACAGTGACACGCAGACAAAACTGAATCATCTACAGGAGTTTAAAATAAAATACAGAAAAAAATTTAAAACTCCCTGGATTCTTATTTCTCATATCACAAAGATCTTATGAAACAATAATTCTGTTGATTTCCAATTAACTAAATATTTGTTTTTGTGTTTATGTATGTATGTGGTTAGAAAAATTACCAGTTCAGAGGGCCATGCAATGCATGTAATATAATTTGAAATGGAACAACAGAGTACACTTGCCTACAAGCCTCAACAAATCAGTTTCAAGTGATCACATAAGCTGACACCCATCCAACTGTTTTTCTTCAATTTAACAGTGTAATGCTTTTCTGTAATAAGTATATTAATATTCAAACTAATATGAATACTGAAGGAATTATATTTTTTTTCAGCTTTCTGTACTGTTGATATGTTTCTATAGACTGTATTAACATAAGAAAAAAAAAAAGCAAACTGGGGCTTTTCTTCTTTTAGAAATATCCTAAGAGGTCCTTAGAGAAATAACTGATGATATGTTTTATGATTTGTGTTCCAAAAATAAGAAAATAAGTCTAAAACATCTTGTGGTACCAGGAAGCAAGGAAGCTTTCAGGAACTACTAGGCTATATTCACAAAAAGGATCTGAGATGATGAGGTGCCACTCAGCTAAATGTAGGAAAATCTAAGACAAAAAGTATAGTAGCTGCAATGAACTGAAACATATCATATTACAATCTAAATGATTCTATGAGTTCATAATTTTAAAAATTTCATTGGTCACTCTAGGAAGAGATTAAAGAACCAAAGCATTAGTCTAAATAACAGGGAGAGAAAGGAAAGAATTAATAAGCATTAAAAAAAAAAATCTCCATAGAACTTAAAAAAAATACAAAACCCACTACTGCCGTCACCAGAAAACTAGGTATTATTGTTTAATCTCTAAACATTTTTCTTCTTTCTATCTTATACCAAACCCATCCTCAAGTCTAGACATCTCAGAAGCAATAATATCATAATGATATTTAACCTGAGCATACATCCATGTAAATATGCATTAAGTTGTAGGGGGAAGGGGGAAGTCCCCAAATGCTGTGACTCCTTTTTACCTACCTCCCCAAACCAGGCCTCTATAAATTGACTAGAAGTGGTTTCCAATTATTTATGAGAAGGATCCATTTGCACAAAAGATGTGCTACCAGGAAGGTCCAATTTGTAAAACAGACAAAAGCAGGGCTGCTCTGGCTGAAGCTATACGGAGGGAGGGCCCTGGAGCCTACAGCAGGCCTGGCAGAGGCTTCTGAGGGCACCCTGTGAATTCCCTCTGTCCTCAGTGCACAGTTACAACACAGGCACATAAAAAGAAAAGAGAAAACAAAAACAAACTTTCAACATTTCACTTAGTCAAGTGGATTTTCTGAGAGAAGGGCATCCCCCCTAAATATTTGATCATGGTATAGGACAAGAATCTTCCTTTGCTCTCCAATGTAATTTTCTGCAGGATAGGAATGTTTTTTATCTGCACAGACTATTAATGGACCATTTTAAACATAGGTAATGCAACTGAGGAAGTAAACTTTTTATTTTGTTTAAGTTTAATTTAAATTTAAACAGCCACACATGGCTAGTGGCTACCCTATCACACAGCACAGACAACAACTACATGTTTTAAT